TGCTGAACCATATCCCGAAGTGCCACATCTACACATTGTTTGAACACCTCCAGGGATGGGGACTGCACCACAGTTTAGTGGTGGACTTGGCCATGTTGGGTTGACAGTTGGACTCGATGATCTTAAGGGTCTTTTCCAACCTAAATGATTCTCTGACTCTACGAATTCGGTGTCGGGCAGGATCTGGAACACCATACACATCCACAGTTCTGTCCCAGAGCAGGAGCAGGGAGGTCACGGTAGACAGGCTCTGCTCCAGACTCTGCCACACTGCCCGGAACTCCCCGGGTGTGACTACAGCCCTTCTAGCTCAGGAGTCTGAACAGAAGGGCTGGTTTAGGGCTACGAGATCCTTATTCTGGCTAGCAACAGATCATCAAGGGCCACCTCCTCTCTCGCCCCCCAACTCTGGCCTTTGACTCATCATTCCAAAAGCCGAATGGCTCTCTACTGTTCATCTGAAAACAAACAAAACAGATTTATAAACCCCTAACCAGCACAATTCTGAAAGAAAAGACCAACCAGGCAGTGATGTTTTGGATTTAGATCAGTCTTCCAGCCAAACTTTTCAATCCCCAACTAGTTCTCCTGAGCCAAGTGATGAACTCTGAAGCTTTCTTGTTCTCCAACAATAATTGGCAGTTCCTCCTCTGACTGAGGAATCGGGACCACGTCCTTTCTGCTCCTTCACTGACGTCCTCCTACGGATTCTCCTCCATCCCCACGCTCAGTAACGCCTTCCCCTAACTATCCGGCATCCTCTTTGCATTCAGCTGCGTGCTCTGGAGCGAGGACTCTGGATGCGTTAGGAGAAGTGTGGGCAGCAGGTCGAGGGAGGTTCTTCTCCCCCTCTACTCTGCCCTGGTGAGGCCCCATCTGGAGTCCTGTGTCCAGTTCTGGGCTCCCCAGTTCAAGAAAGATGAGGAGCTACTGGACAGAGTCCAGCGCAGGGCTACGAGGATGAGGAGGGGACTGGAGCATCTCTCCTACGAGGAGAGGCTGAGGGAGCTGGGCTTGTTCAGCCTGGAGAAGAAAAGGCTGAGAGGGGACCTTCGAAATGCCTCTAAATATCTGCAGGGTGGGGGTCAGGAGGACGGGGCCAGACTCTTTCCAGTGGTGCCCAGCGACAGGACAAGGGGCAACGGGCACAAACTGAAGCAGAGGAAGCTCCAGCTGAAGATGAGGAAGAACTTCTTCCCTCTGAGGGTGACGGAGCCCTGGCCCAGGCTGCCCAGGGAGGCTGTGGAGTCTCCTTCTCTGGAGATATTCCAGACCCGCCTGGCCGCGGTGCTGTGCAGCCTGCTCTGGGTGACCCTGCTTGGGCAGGGGGTTGGGCTGGGTGACCCCCAGAGGTCCCTGCCAACCCTGCCATTCTGTGACTCTGTGATTCTGAGGACTCGGCAGACGTGCTGCGGGCAAGGCTGTAACACAACGCCTCGCCTCGTCTCAGCGGGTAACGCGGGTCCCCAGGAGCCGGGAGGATGCTTCGCCCCGCTGGCTGGGAGCGCGTGGAGGGCACGCCTCTGCTCTTTCATAGCCCTGTACAATGCTGCTTGACATGAACGCAACAAGGCAGCACTGTAAAGAAGCTGAAAGCACAAAGGTACAGCAACGGCCGTGGAAGTGGTGGGGCCTCGCCAAGACGTCGAGAGCAGCTGGTAAAACACCACTGGAAGGGTATCCAGCCTCCGCCCCGACCTTCCTCCTCCTCTCTCAGCGGTCCCATGAGCTGCAGTTTGTCGCGCACCCACCGTTCCCCAAACCTCCGCAGGGAAGCTGACTCTGCCCGAGCAGAGGACCCGACCAGACCACCGGCCAGCCCCCGACTCATCCGCAGCTCTTCAGGTCCCGGTACAACCACCTGGCTCAAACTACACAGATGAGCAAGGACAGAATTTATGGAAGAATCCAAAACGAGCGGATTCCAACTTACAGAACATCCCAAAAGGCGAGGATGAACGCGCATCTACGAAGGAGAAGAGAGACGCTGCGCGACAGCAGCACACAAGGGAGGCTTCAGCCAGGGACACACGGAACAGATTTCCCCTTCGTACCTCGTTAAGCGCACACATCCGTGCTATGGAGCCAATGTTGTTGGTGATGGTTATCAAAGTGGCCTTCGCGAGGTCCTCTTTGCTGACAGACTCCCGCTTCTCCTTGCTCATCATGTTTCCAAAGCTGTAAGGAAAGTTCTGGGGTTAAAGGTCCGTTTCACAGAATCACAGAATGGTCGGGGTTGGCAGGGACCTCTGTGGGTCACCCAGTCCAACCCCCTGCCCAAGCAGGGTCACCCACAGCAGGCTGCACAGCACCGCGGCCAGGCGGGTCTGGAATATCTCCAGAGAAGGAGACTCCACAGCCTCCCTGGGCAGCCTGGGCCAGGGCTCCGTCACCCTCAGAGGGAAGAATCCCGTTTGCATCGGAATTCCTGAAGAGAACGGGAACTGCTCATTGAACCAGAGGGATTCATTCTGAAGTGCTTCCTTCTAACTTTAAAAAGCACGGCTGCTGTCAGTGATTTAGATCTGGTGGAACGGAACAGCAGACGGAACGGTGGCAGCTCTCCTAAGAGCTGTAAACCGGGGCACAAACTGAAGCAGAGGAAGTTCCAGCTGAACCCGAGGAAGAACTTCTTCCCTCTGAGGGTGACGGAGCCCTGGCCCAGGCTGCCCAGGGAGGT